GTTTTTGCGCGGCAGCCTCTTTTTTTTGCTTGATCTCGTTGGCTTTTCTTTCAGCTTCCTCCTCTGCATCTTTTAATAGCTTTAGAGACGTTTCGTTCGTAAGAAGTTAGGAAAACGGCATAGTTTTCCTTTTTTTTCTTTTTTGTAAACTTGCTTCAGGTTGGTTCACGGCTTGATCTGAATCTTCAACTGATTGTAGAGTATGAGGAAGAGGGTACTTAAGCACTAAACGTAAAGAGCAGATGCCAGAGTTTTTGAAAGTTTCTAGTTCATCTTTTGTCACTTTTAACTCTGCTTCCAACTGGTCAACCCTAAGATTAAGCGATTTAACCTCAGCCTTTGATGATCTTTTCTTAGTATAAGTAAAGGTAGGATTTGAATTTAGGTTAGAAAAAGCTTGCGAAGGTAAAGAAATTGATGTAGAAGGTTGCAGATACGGAATTGGTGTAGAAAGTTGCATTGGCGAAACATCGAACTGTTCTGTTGCTAGAGAAGGATCAAGGCGGTCAGGACTAATTGCATTTGGATTAAACGGTCAGATTCCAGTTGCTTTGAAAGCATTGCAAATAGCCACAGGTGTGTAAGTTTTAATATAAGCTGGACCAAGAACCTTAGCAAATGTATGTTTGGTAACTAATTCGCCATTATTATTAAAGCGAAGCTGTTCACAGCTTTTACTGTAAGCTTGTTTGAGATGAGCGAAAGGAATTTCTGCAGGTTGAAGTATATGAGTTGTATGGGGTGAGAGCGCATAGAGAAGAATGTTGTTGTTGAAGCAAAGGTTAACACAAGCATAACTAACATGACTTTTATGACCGTCAAGAATTAATAAAACAGGGCGAGTAGGTGGAATTGAACGAATGAAATGTTCGATATATTTTTGAAAAAGGCATTCTTTCATATATCCGCTATCTGTGAATCCCATAACAGAACCTGCAGGTGCACCATTCAAGAGACCAGGAATTATGCGCTTTCTTTTGTAGATGATTAATGGTGGTATATACGTTCTGGCTGCTGAGATTGTTGGACATACTGAAATGTGTTCTTGAGACTTTTCTTGTGAAACCTGATGAACTTGACGGGCACCTTTCTTTGCGATTACTTTTTGAAGAGTCAAATTAATGATAAAGCCCGTCTCGTCCTAAATATAATATAAAAAAGATAATTAAAAAAAAAAAAAAAAAAAAAAAAATAGAAAAAAAAAGAATACCATATTCCAAATCCGATCTGGTGTAAGTGAATGATTTTCAATTATTTTTTGAAGCTTTTGGAAGTGATCTTTGACAATAATAGGGTTGGCCCTTTAGGCTCGTGCTTCATTTAAGGCCTGTGGGACGCGAAATGAAAGTTCCGGGTGGTCTCTCATGAATCGTTCCCACCACGATTGACCTGGTCCACTTTCTTTAAAGGGGTGAGATCTATTATTTTGGCGAACAATATCCATTACACATTGGTTCACCCCTGATCTTGTCAATCCGAAGCCAAGTCTCTGCATATTCAAACAATAACTGACAAGTTGCTGTTCTTCATAGTCAGTTAAAACTTTAGCAGGGCTTGGACGACTAGGAGGGCCACTATTTTTAATGGCACATCTTAAAGTAGTTTCTGGGATGCCATATTTTTTTGCAAGACTTCTATGACTTGGTGGCTTAGGATTGGTTTGAGAACTATTTAGTTCTTTAAGGGCACTT